TACTAGCATTTGGATGTGTTTAAACAAATGCATCAAAAACACTTCAAAAATCTCTATATAAAGATAACTAATTCAATATCAGAAATTTAATGAGAACCCAGAAATCGCATTAAAGAAAAGCCCATGTAGTTGGAAACCAAGAAATTTGACTCCATCTCCACATTCTAGCAAAGAACTTAAAGCTGATTTAGTCTCCATTATATTCTGTAAGAGTCTACAACAAAAGCGAGTAAAAAACAAGATGTTACTTTTTCAGCTTGCAGAGGAGTTACAATTAGGAGAAAACGGAAAGCCTAAAATCATTAATTAGTTTATTAAATTCTATGTAACTACACTACATCCCAAAGGAAAGTCACTATTGGGTATTGCCCACTGAAAGCACAAGTTATCACAGTGCATAACTTAAGTTGTGGATCTTTGTTCTTCAACTTGTATATCTAACTAAAATTTCTTAGGCAAGATATTAACATTGTTAAATCTCAGGATTATAACCAAAAGAATTCTTGATTCAGACAGCTGAAGCACAAGTCTAAGATTCACTTTATTCATGTACATACTCACCTTACTGAAGTTTTTTGTATTAAATTATATGGTCAAGATTCCAATGTCATCAAAAAGCAGGTTTCAAAGTCCCTATGAGTTGGAAGGGAAAAATCAAAGGCAGCACCTTATCATTCCTTGAGATAAAAAGAATCTCACCATAACTTTTCTACATAGTCTTATAAATTTCCCTTATACTGAAGTAGAGAAATAGTATGACCCATATCATTTAAATGGCTATGGATATGGACATACAACTGACTAACCTAAGAATGTGGTCAGATAAGATATGAAGAGTGGTCAGAGGGATGCTCACATTAAATATACAAAGCCCCTCAGCTGAAAGCAGTCAAAGTCTGAGCTGCTGCAATCCTTCCATCTTGCTCAACACCTCAGCTACCCTGTCATGTGCAACATTCACAGCATTGTATGAGCTTAGTGAGAAGATTCAAATAAACCATCCACATGAAAATTAACTTGGGGGATTTCCTGCAGACAGATTAGCCCTCTGAAGCACCTCACTGTGCAGCTGTGTGATAGTTTGAGCTGACGTGAAGGGAAACTGCATAGCAGAAAAGGGAAGATTAACTTAAGATGCTGCAAAACTATATTGCAAATGTAATTTAGACAGTTGCTAGCCTAAACACCATAAGGGTATGCAAAATACAATTACTCATTTAAGAAAGAAAACAGTTTTGCTATGTTGCTTACATCTTTAATGCCTTAAGTTTTACTTAAAAATTACTCTAGTAATACTGTAATTGGCGAGCAAAGGACAGTAGTGCACACTTCAAGATATTACGATATTTCTTCTGAAGCATATAAACTGGGATGATTTTCTGAGGAATATCAGATTTGAAAGAAATCTGCATATGAAAACAAAACATCAAGGCACTTTTCAGCTTTCTTAACCAGCGTCTTCCCTCCTACTCCCCTACCAAAACCCCTGAGGAATATCAGATTTGAAAGAAAGCTGCATATGAAAACAAAACATCAAAGCACTTTTCAGCTTTCTTAACCAGCATCTTCCCTCCTACTCCCCTACCAAAACCTTTTTCCTTCTTTAAGAAAAAAAGATGCTCTGCAAGCACCAAGCAAAATAATACCTGGTTTTGCTCTGCATCCTGCAGCCTGTCCCCTACTCTAAATTCCTGCTATGGTTACATCAGCACTTGCCCATGTGGCAGTGCATATGCTACAGAAGATATGAAAGTCAACACCTGTGCTTTTACCTGACTGCTGGGTGCTCAATTCAGGATTTAGCTCCCAATCCCCATACTCACTGCCCTTCCCGCAGGGAAGGAATTCTTGAATCACTCTAAGGCCTGGTGTGTAACAAATACATATATATATATATTAAAAAAAAAAAAAAAAAAACACACACACACACGAGAAAAAGGAAAAAATATTGAAGATGCCCTTTGTTAATCTTCAAAACATAAGAATAAGCACAGCTGAAAAGAAAGATAAAGGGTAAAGGGCAATGTTTTACACTTGCCAGACTTGTAAATCAAAAATAATCCCAGTGTTCACTTGACAGTGTGCATACTCACTCCACACTTTAAACTGTTTATTTAAATTACTTAAGGGATCATTGGTCAAATCAGTGCTAACTTACTAAGACATGGCTAGCTGGTCATCAGCTAACAGAAAAACAGCTGGTCTAACTCTCTAAATGGACCAAAACCCATAATCCTTCCCATCTCGTTTTCTGAGGTTACTTCTGCAATTTCCCACAACCACAGACAATGTTTTAAATTCATATCACAACAGTGAATCTAAAGTACTAGAATCTGAAGAATAGCTTCCATACTAGAACCCTGATGCTTTGAGTCTAGGCAGGGTAAGTACTGAGTAGTCTTTAAAAACTTCCTGAAGAGCTTTCACTTTGATCCTGGAAAGTCCTAGAGCTTTATAGCCTGTGAAGCTGAAGCTTGTTTTCTCCTAGAACAGAAACTGTAGTGCTAACACGCTATAATCCATTTTTAATCAAAATATATCTGTATTCTTTAGGTTAAAAATTTAGAATGAAGTACCAACTTAGAACAATTAGATACCAAATAATGTTTAGCAAATGTTCCGTTTCCACTCCACCAGATGCAGAAGGAGAGAATATCAGTATTTTTGCTTTAGAACCAGCAGGTCTTACAATAGCCTTTTCCAATCTCGCTCAAACATACAATATGTTTAACAGCTAAATGTTTAAAAATACTAAGAAGTTCTAATCCTCATCTTCACTATCCAAAGAAGTAATAAAGTTATTTTCCCCACTACTTATAACAAGAAAATGTACTTTATATGTAAACAGGAAATGTACATGCATACGTACATGAAAATATAATTATACTACTTGTACAGAAAAAGGTAAATTATTAAATACTTCAAGACATACAGAAGTATTTTTGGAAGCAATAATTTACATTTTCCATTTACACATATAAAATTGAGGCCTTTTTCTGCATGCGTTAGCACAAAGAAAATTTCTATTAATTTAAATATTGCATTTTATCTTTACCTTGGAAAAAATATATAAAATGTTGGACTACCCTGAACTTCTAGAAGATAATTTCTAGACTAAAATACAAACTTCTTCACAAAATTCTCTATAAAATCTAAAAGCATTTCAAAATGCAACTGCAGTCACTTATGCCAAATTACAGCCCTTTCGCAAAATCATAGTAGTAAACTGCTCATCCCCATCTTCTAAAGAATCCAGTATTTTCTCAGATATTTTCTAAAAGCAGTAACAAACTTAGCCAGGTTCTTTCAATTATTAAGCAAAAAGATATCAATAATAATGTTAAAAGGTAACACTAGGCACCAACTTGGAACAAAAAGACACCAAAGATTTTCCTGAGAGCTGCAGCAAGAACTTGTTTGCTTGTTGCACACTCTTCTGCCCCTCACTCCCCAAACTTCAGAATTCATTATCACAAACTGAAATTGACACTCATCTCTTAGGGCTTCTGTTGTGTTATAGCTACAAGAATCCTCCACCAAGTGAAACACGAAATAGACCCTCTCTTGGAAAAGAAAATAAGGGAAAGAAGGAAAATGGTTCTGAAGAAGTCAGGACTGCACAAAATCAACATGCATTTGGCAACTGGAAGACTCTGCATTTTAATAATTGGTTAGTTTTTAGAATTAAGCACACCAGAAGTATTAATTTGATACAGAGGACTAGCAGCAAGACATCTTTCCTGAAAAGAACATAGGCCACAGCACAATGTTCAGCCTCAATCATTTTTCCTATGAGAAGATAAAAAGTGCTTATTTTTTCCCCCCGTGCCAAATCAGTTTGTATCTTTTGCACCTAGATTTTAACATTTAAATATCAAAGGGGAATCTTTCATTACTTCATTTTTTCCCTCTAGATATTAATTGCTTGATGATTTAAAAAAGAAATTCAATTTCAAGACAGTTACAATAAAAAGTGTGTTTTTGAAGCACTGTGGAAAAGACTGTCCTATACAAAATCAGAACTTAAAATCATGTCCATCAAGGAAACACAACAGAGATTCCATCCTCCAAACAGAAAAATATCAAAAATTTTACATTAGGATAAGCAGAAAATTAAACTTAAAATGAAGACAAACAGAAAAATATCAAAAAATTTACATTAGGCTAAGCAGAAAATTAAACTTAAAATGAAGAACGAATTTCCTTCAATTAGAGAAATATCCATTAGTGGTTTCAAAGAATAAGCTGAATCAGGTATTCATGCATTTTTGCCACCCAGGTACAAAAATGACTCCTTAACTAGTTATGGATGGATGCATAAAATAAACCATTGCCCACAGCAAAAACACCACCATCCCACAGACCTGTATTTTATTTCCTATAAATTTTAGCAGCCTGCTTTAGTTTGATAATTAATTGTTACTATACCTTACTGAGACCTTGAAACAAAGAACAAAATCTGTAATACACACTGTGGTGCGACAAAAGTGTTCCAAGACGGTATGAATTTAAAAGGGCATAAACTTAACCCTAAATAAATATCAGCCAGAGACTGAAATATGAAGCAAATCTTTGCGGCAAATGTAATGTATTCATGCAATTCAGAAATGTATGTAGAACAATAGCAATCCACGTGATACTTCAAAATATCATCATTTCTGGTGACATCATAAACCATAAGTTGAAAGAATTCAAACAAATTCTTACTCAAAATAAACAATGACTTTTACTTTTGTACATCTAAAACTTCAGACCATTCTTCAGCAAGCAGATTTTAAACAGTGTTATATAGTCAAAGTGGCCTGTGGAAATGGCATGTTTCATACAGATGAATCATCATCAACTGATGAACTAGATATGACATAACAGCACACTAATTAGAAAAATGTTCAGCTACAGCTACTGGAAAGTTACAGGAAAAATATGTAAACACATTTGGGTAATCTATTAGAAATTAAATATAAAGACTTTATTATAACCAAATAAATACTAAATTTTACCTTTTCTGGATTGTAATATAAAGATTTCAAAGTGGTAAACAAGGGTGGACAGCCTTTACTGAAGTTAACCCTCAGGAACTTATCCATTAGTTCTCTAAATTTTTCACCTAGAAACAGAAGTGTATTGGTTATATGTCAGTGATTTCAAGTGTTAGATAAATATAAACACTACCTGGTGTACAACTCTGGATAATAAAAGTAACTGAAGAATTGCAAGTAAGGGCCATCATCATTCATCATGTCAATGTGTTAATAACAGGGAACGTTATTAACAAAATACAAATAATGCCCTAAAAAAAGCTAGGGCAAAATGCTTCAGTTGTTCGGGTTTATGAAGTTGCCAATGGGAAGGCATGATAGCAGTCTTTAAACATGTAAGATCTGTTAGAAAGGAAAAGCTTTAAACTGTTGGCTACATGGAATGTCACAAGGGGTACTTAAATAAACACTGAATAAAAATTCTAATTGTAAGAGTAACTAAGTATTAGAATATACTACCACGGAGATTTTGCGAAAGCCTCATCTTGGGAAGATTTTATGATTAGATAATTTGTATTAGGAAATAGTGCAGATATTTTATTCTGCTTTGAGGAAGAACGATAAACAAAAACTCTCTACCTCTCTTCCAGTCCTACTTTTTTCTTTCTTTTTTTTTTTTTTTTTAAATGAGTAGTACATGACTACCAATGATATGATTGTTTTTGGAATCAGAAGCAGAACACTGGGCTTCAGGAGGATAACATTTGTATCAGAATTACCTTTACAAAAATAAACTGTCAGAAAGCTAATTATTTGATTATGACTTCAGTTCAAACCACAGCATTTGCAATATGATACTTTTCTAAGAAATGCTGTTGCTGAGGGGAAAAAAAAAAAAGCAGTATTTCAAAAATAAGATGTCTAACCAAAAAAGAAGTGCTTTTCATGTTCTTACTCTCCTATGAATATCAATGGTTGCAGAAAGACCTTCTCCCCCAGTATTTATTTGTGCTCATTTTTTGTTTGCTTTGCATAGAAATGAAGTTGCTGCGCTTCACTGCTCATTTTGGAGCACACTCTAAATTTCTAAACAAAAAGTGCTATACTTAATGCTAACATATACCCAATAAAGCAGTTTAAACAACTGTCCATTTCATTCGATGGAAATTAAAACTGCATTACCAAATGTGTTTAACGAGTAATTTTAGTAGATACTTAGAATACCAATATATTACTCCTCCGTATACAAAAATCTTAATATACATTCTACCAATTCTACATTTTTACCATTGCCGTTGTGACCGATAGAAGTAATTTGCATTCCTCCTTGGCTGTACTAAAGCAAATTGCTAAATACAGTAATTCCCATCATCTGTGGATAGGAATCAACTACCACTCTCTGTGGATAGGGACCAAAATGCCAAGACCCAGGCACTTCGATCAGTTTGAAACCAACTCCCCACCAAAAAGAAAAAACAAGAACAAAACAAACAAACCAAAAAAATTACACCCTTCCTTCAAATCGTTGATTTTCAGCCAAATCAGGAAGATGATCTGTAACACATGCAGCGTGATAGGGACAGAGTGTATGGCAAAGTCTGAGAAGGAGCAAATTGTCCTTTTAGTGACAGGCTCCAGTTGAGTGTTTTAAGTCAATTCTGAATCAACAGACGACAGCTGTAAGAAGTTGGTTTAACCATGAAGGTAGAGAATAAGCATTATTGCTCAACATACTTCTATTTAAATGAACACAAGGTATGAAACTGAACTACCAAAAATGATAAAACAACTCAAAGCATTCACCATGAAACAAAGTCAATGACAAAACATCCTATTAATAAAATTATCGAAAACATTTTGCAGGTTATTTCCTTGCTCGCTATGGATTAGCATAAACAATTTTATCTTATTGCCTTCCAGAAGAAAAACAATTACTCATCATGTAGCTTTTTAAATGCAGTAAAGTTTTGCCTTTTGGATTTTCAAAGAAACTGAAATATCTGGGATTTAAGACTGATCTGATACCTTCACGACTGGTTCGCTTATGAGGCAATTACAATTTTGTGACTGTACCCAAGAAAAGATGTATGCCTCCTCAGCAACACATGCACAGAAGACTAATATGCTGTTTAGTTTTTAAGGCAGCAACACGTGACACTTGGTAAGCAAGCTAAGCTAAAAACTAAGCTCAAGAAATCAAATGCATGAGCAGGGATATTAGGAATTTGCAGCTAAACTTAGTTTTCAACAGGATGTTTCTGAATGTGTACTGGGTATTTCTTTCCAATTTTTTTTTCCATTAGAGCTGCAGTGCATATGTACATAAACACACACATATATATACATCATTATACCCTAGATTTATATTTTTATGAGATTAACTAATTCATTTAATCTCTATCCCTCCATCTCAGAGGAATGTAGCTTGCTAGGGTGTCACTTGAAGTTCATTGCAGAACTCAAGGTATTGTGCACTGTGGTTTCATATAACTTCTAAAGAGGGTATAGTCTCTGAAAAGAGTTAGCTATAGAATAAGTAAAATAATTCATGCTGCAACACACTGCAGAACTATCTTTTTCCACTATTTGTATTAATTTAAGAACACAGAGTTGGTTTACACTTTGGTTTTGCACTTCAATGGTTCCATAAGAAAGCACTGCACACTAATAAGATAACCCAGTTTCATAGAAGTGCTTTCGTGTTTTCTGATACCAGAACCACTGCGAGGAGCTTCATCAGATCTGCGATACTGGGATTGTTATATGCACCTTTCAGAACTCGTTTCCAACTTTATAAACTTGAGAATTGGCTACCTCGAGCAAGAAGTTTTTTTTGTTTTTTACCTCCAGAATGTGTGATTTTAAGCAAAAAAGTTTTAAGTTAAAAAGCACAAAGAAGCCAGACTCTAATTAGTCTTCCAGCTTCTACTGACTTTTACATTTTTGAGGCAATCTACACTGCAGCATCAAGACCAGCTGACTTTTCACAAGCACTGAACATTATCACAATTCACAAATAAGCTATGATAGATAAATCTATTATTTTAATTCAAAAGCTCACTACACTTCTAACTTTTAGCTGATGACTATTAACTTGCATAATGATGGAGCAGAGAGATTATGCATAAGATTTTTTAAAAAAAACTATACATAATTCTGTATTATCATTTTATCAATGAAAACAACATCACAAGCTTGGCACTGCTGTAAAAGTGTATGAATTGTTTCTCTCAACTCCTGAAAGCCTTACTGATATACTTGTATGCACTTCTCTTGGAATAGACATGTCATTTTGTATATGTACAAATAGGTATTAAATGTATATTCAACATCCTGACAAAAACTTAAGAAAAACAAGCAAAAAGCTATAAGTATTATGGAACAGATATGCAATGTGTTACCTGCAACAAAGTTTAAGGGTAATCTTCTAGGTGAAACTGCTCTGGGATGCCTTTTACTAACATCTTCATAAATTTGAAGCCTTTCTTCTAAAGTGCCTATTATCAGTAAATATAATAGATATAAGTAATGACAGTGATAAAAGTATGTTCTACTAAAGGTTTTGAAGTATTGAGAATGGATTTAAAATTTATATTTTGGACTTAATTTAAACATTTCAAGCTCTTTCTCATTAAATCACAAACACTACCGTGTAAAATAGTGTATATCAACAAACGGTACATTTAGTATGCAAAAACCAGCATTAATCATTATACAGATATTACACTGCAATCAAAAAAATTGCCTTGCACCTTCAAACAAACAGTACTGGAGTTTGATTTCTTTCAAAAATACACTGTGTGGAACCATTCATAATTTAGCTTAAAATTCACAGCTTTAACTGCATCCGTTTCAGACATACTTAAAACACTGAGAAAAATACATTCTGCATCTAAATCATAGGTCTACAAATAGCTTACTTTATCAGCATGCCTTTATTGACTCTGCTGGCATCAAAAATGTGGCCCAACACTGCCAGGCTAAGCACTCAGCACTAGCAATACCTCCCGTTTAAGCAGCTTTGCTTTTGTTACAGTTTTCTCCCCACTCCTCCCCGTTCCCCCATAATATGCTTTGGAGCTCCAATGTGGTTAGAACATAAATAAAACTAATTTGTTGCTTTTGAAATTCCACGTTTATATAATTAAAATCCATTTTGCTTTTTTTTTTTTTTTTTAATTGACCAAGCAGTTTAATTACGACCGGATGTTCAGATCAAGACATATGTTTAAATCTGTTTTCTTTTCAAGAGGAAAAGAACTTAAATCTTGTCACTGAGCTCTGATGTTGGGGAAGGGGGAATCTTACCCAGTGTCTCCAAGAGATGTGCAATTTTAAGAATCACATTTTAAAATAACATTAGGATTGGAACTAAAGCATATACAAATCCCTAATTGAAGTCACAAGTTGGAGCTCCAGAACTTACCATGGGGGAGGAAATAGTCCTAAGAACACCTAAAAAATAAAGTAGCATTATTAGTTTTATAAATTAGAACAGTTTTAAGCAGGATCTTAATATCAAACAAAAATAATATTGCATTGATTCTTTGTTAAATATACTGAACATGTTGACATGTAAATGTATTTCAACTGAATCAAGCACCTGGATATTATTTCAAAAAATAAATTCACCATTTTCAACTCTATAAGTACAATAGAAAAAAAAAAAACAAATGGCAAGATTGGTCTTTGTATAAATGTAAGAAATGTAATCATCTTCCAACCACAAACCATATTTTCCAGTTGTACTAAATCAGGAATGTAAAACTTCCTAAATCAAAACTTGTTGAAAAAAATGTAGCTATAGTATCTATATATTTGGGGGGCTTATGATTTATGATGTCATCAGAATTACTCCACTGAAACCTCTTCCAAGTGGTGAATTGTAAAATATAGGAAACCATTCCAATGCATGGACTCATACAGGTAAAACTGTGAAAGTTACCATTGCAATGTATTTATTATAGTAGCTATTGCTGCAATAGTGTGATTAAAAATAGCTATTTTTCTGAAAGAACAGAAGAGAAATTACAGAAGCTATTTTTGGGGGGAGTGAAGATAAGAGGTGGAGGGAACATTTTTATCATGCTTATAATCTTTTCCTCCAAAGAATATCTACCTTTTCATAGAATTAAATATCTTTAAAAGGTCAAAGCAGGTTTTTCAGTATTTCTCTACATGTCATAGAAATAAGTATCATCCCAATACATATCAAAGTAACAGCTCCAGCTACAATAATGAACACAATCTACTGCAACATAAGGAGCAATGAACTGCATTTCAGTTTCTATATTCATGCATGCCAAGGAAAGACTTGGGTGAGCACACTAACAAATGCCCCATTTAACCCCAATTTCTACAGAAAGACCTGCTATTTGTTTTCACATGCGTCTAACTTGGTGAACAAATTTTTAGAACAGAAACAGGATTATTCTATTCAGGCTCAGAAGAAACAGAATCTGGGAGGAAACAAGCTTCTCAATCTAAAACTGTAATGCCATACAAACACAGTAATGTTTAAGTTACTGTAACATATATTTTCAGTTTATCAGCATATCATCACTTACTAGGTTGGAGGGCTTTTTCCAAACCTTCATAGTAATACCAGTTTTCTGCATTGCGTTCAATTAATTCCTTATATACTTGACCAGCTTCTTTTAGTCTTCCCAACTTCAGTAACATTTCTCCTGAAAACAATCCAGCAAAAGGGTGAAGAAAGTTCTAAAGAAGTGATTTACATCAAAAACCAGCACAGATGGCTTGGAGTAAAGTTCGAAAAACTAGGTGCCTAAAATTGGGCTTCATCACATACAGATATTAGGAAGAGTTTTCTTATTCATAAAACTCTTACTACTCATTAGATTAAAACTGAATTTTAACTTACAAAAAGGTACCTCTATTTACACTTAAAAAATCAGTATCTTTAATATCTCCTCTCCTGTATCAATTCAAATTAAACTACTCATATACACTATCCACTTTGATAGGATAAGCTATCAGAACACATAAATGCACATATGGTATTACGAGCTTCTTTAGAATGGAAGATTCAAATTGTTTTATGATTTTACAATTTTTTTCCATGCCATATCTTTCTGAAAGCTAGCAGCAAAAGTTTCTTACAAACTTACCTTTGATTTCTTCTACTATTAACTTATCACATATTTGCTTTTCATATGTCTCTATATGTTCTAAAGACTCTTGAAATAAATCTGCCTCTCTCATCACTTGATTTTGGTATAAAATCAGTTCACTATATTCATAATCTATTTTATTAGGAGGAATCTGGGAGAAAAAGAAAAAGAAAAAAGCAATGGATTAGTTAATATATACCATCTATTTTTACTTCAACTGTATGTATGCAGTATGATAGAATATGCAATTGAGGCAACAGGAGATATCAGATCTATATACCAATCTAAATGTTAAAAATGTGAAAGTCGCCATACTCGCTGGAAAATTAAACTATTAAGTTCATTCAGGATATACATTGTTACAGAAGAGTAAAAATAAAGCTTTTTTATATTAAGGTTTTTGTATTTCACTGTTTCTATAATTACACAGATAATTAAAAACACTCCTTGTCTTTCCTTGTACACTTCCATTAAACTTGCAGAGAGGTGAGAGAGGTAGTCTCACTCCACGCCTGAGATCTGCAGCAGGGTTGTGGACTCTCACAGTACTTCAGCATAGTCACGATTCCGGATCAAGCTCTTTCCAAGACCTTTAGAGATCATCAAGTGCAACCTCCCCATCCACCCTTGAAGGGAGAACTCCCTAGAAACATATGAGGCAAGGGAAAAATCTTCCTGGAGTCATAATAATTCATACTAAGTTCTCTTCACTAATATACACAGAAACTGCTTGAATTGCCAATGAACTAGAATTTCAGAGATCAAATGCAGACACCTATAAGCAGGTCTATACGACAATTTACCATATGTAATATACTGCCTAATTTGATATTGCAGAAGACAGTTATAATCTGTATGCTTATATTTTTTTCCAAATAAAAATAAATAAAAAGCAGCAGCTGAGCTTGATAAATTTGTCTAATGATTTTCTCCTCCATGACACTACATACTGTTTTTTTCTGATCTACGAACACTTAAAGTCACACTGGTCAAAGCATTTTCTGTTGCTTTTCTGTTCCCTGAAATATAGACTTTAAGTAAATAACAAAATTTAAAACTATAGAAAATAAAACTTATTAAATTGGTTAAAATTAACATTCATGTTAAAAGTATCTTCTCATAAAGCACCATGCTTCGAGACCTCTAAGTGCACAACAGCTGTACAAGATTTAGTATTTTTGCAGCACACTTCGAATTTGCAGATGCAGCTTTAACAGTACTGATTTTTTTGAAGTATATTTTTTCTATCAGAAAAAGGAGAAACAGGAGATGTTCTAAAAAACAACATAGCTACACAAAGCATTGTAAAAGCATGTATATTCAACTCCAGATCTCACTTCTATGGCTGAAAATAACAGCATTCAAATTTTTAGCAACTTGCATATTTTAACAAGTAATAGCTAATAAACAGCCTGAACTTTGCTCACATCAGAGTTGACAGGTAGCACATAGTCCTATCTATTCCATAACCAGGACCACTTCCTCTACGGCCATACGCATTTATCTTTCTTACTCAACTTCCATCCCAACTAAACACCAAACAACACTAAAACATTTTGTTGTTACCCAGAAAGCATCAACTGCTTCACAGAACTGACACATGCAGCAGCACTATCAGTTTAAGCCTGTTTCCCTCCAACTGCAGAGACTCAGCAGTTAGCACCACTGCAACACCACAAATGAGACTACAGACATCATTTTACATTACCTTTCATTTATTTCTTTATAAAAGCATCTGCCCCTCCAATAGAGGGCCCTTAATATCTAGCACTTAAATATAAGCACACTTTTTTGGCACATCTGGATTTGTTTACAGACTTCAAATATAAAAAGATCACTCTAACAACCTTATGTTGCAAAGGCACAAACAAAATACATGTCAATTAACCTTCTCTTTGCCTCTCTGGATAAGATTTCTTCCCAAACATAAAAAAAAGAAATGCTAATGAAGCAAATGAACTACCTTTTATACACATGGCAAATCTACTAGAAAGACACTGTATTTAACCATCAGTCTCAGAACAGACCTACACCATCTTTACAAGTATGATAAGAATTTTTTTTTTTTTTAAATTCTCTCTTTTAAAAAAATGTAATTAACTTTTAAAAATACAATTCATCTGAAGACAAACGGCTTATGATCCCAATACTTAGACTGGACAATGAATCTTAAAAAAAGGAAAACAGATCCTGTAAGATGTGCTTAAAACCATTATTGTTATTGCTGCACAATACATCTTGATTTCTTCCCCCAGAAAAATTACGATTCTTGATGATCAGATCTTCAAACTTGTCTTTAAATCAATCCTACTGTTTCAGAAAAAATCATCTCCCTGTCCTAGACCAAATACACTTTACAATCAATGAGTTGCCCTCAGACCCCCAGAACTCCAAAAGTTTTCTGTCCATATCTGTTATTGTGGGCCTGATGCAGAAGTTAGAAATAAAATAAAAACAAAGAATAAAAATTTAGCTCTAGAAAAGAAAGAAAGAATATGGGATATACAGCAGTAAAACAAATAGCATAATTATTTTACACCTTGGCTCCCAAGGTTCAGATTCTAAAGCAATATGGAATCTAACTTACACAGCACAGGCTGCTACATTTCCTGCAGCAATATCTGCATTCAGTCTCATAACCTGTTTTTGACTGAAACACTGTATATCTAGCTAATTTTCAGTTTCCAGATGGCAGGCAGCGCTGATCTGCAGACACAGAGACAGAAAATCCACCATTTCCCATGATAACTTAACAATTGGAATAAAACTGTCTGTGGCAAAACGCGCTTTATTAATCATTTGAATACACTGTTCAATTTCCAGCTGAGTTCTTATATTCTTCTCTGCTACGTAATCTTCTTAGATATTATTCTTGCTAAAGTGAGCGTCTATGTTTTGAGCTAAGTCATCTAATTTTCTTCTGCTTAAAATAAGCAAAATGGAACCTCAACCTAAAACTGCAGGTCATTTTCTTTAGTCGGCTAACCCTTCCAATACTGTTCTTTTCAAATCCCAGCATTATTAACAGAGGCATCAGAAAGTTTTGCCTTCCCAATAATATTTTCAGCGTTTTACAGAGAAGACTCTTGCTTCTTCTCATAAATAAGGGGCATAACTGCATAAATCTGCACTGAAGGGACAATTTCACAATAAAATAAGCTAACTGCAACATGCACCAACAGAGTTCCTCTTTGACCCTCTCATCTCAGATTTTCAAATCCAGTCAGTCAATCCTTAAAACAAGTGCGTATTTCTCCACCACTTTAGCTTCTTGAACCAGGCCTCCACGAGTCAGCCAGCGCTGCACAAGGAAGCAGTTGAGCATGAGGCAGAGGTCACACTACTGCTTTGGGCAGCCCCCGGCAGATTGCTAGCTCAGTTATGTAATTGTACATGCGAACATCCTCAGACGCATTCATCTGAGCATCTTAAGAGAGTCATCTACAATAACATATCAATAAGGAATTGATAATAAAATATCTATTCATTTCTTAACCGCTTTCTCGCTACTTTTAAATCACACCTAAATGGGCAGAGATGCCTGAGTTATATAAGTATGCAGATGCCATTCATCACCATTATTTACCAATATGACAGCAAGACCTTTTACCAAACAGATTTCTTATTTTCTCCTTTACTTATTAACAGTGGTAAAGAGCCACTTACATCAGGCCTAACACAAACTGCCATGAAACTCTGCAGAAACACTAGTTTGATGAAGATTCTCACTCAGTAGTAACATGGAAACCCTTCAGTCATTTGAGGTCGCTTTTAAAAGCTCGACCAATGACAAAGTATTCAACTAAATAAGTTACAGAAGTCCATATACTAGATTTGAGTGAATTTAAAGAATGGGACAAGAGGAAAGATTTGGAAAGTAAGGTCAGGAAGTACATCTTCCCAAGGATCCATGAAATGTTCTAACTCAACCATTTTAAATGCATCACCAGTGTACAACCATGTACAACCATCATGTACCATCAGCGCACAACTCAAGGCATACATGTACCGTTAAATACCCAGAGACAGCAAAACTGTAGTTTTGAGAGCTCTCAGCTCAGATTTTGCCTAGGGGCTCTTCTGGACCCAGCACAGCCATCTCTCTCAAGTGGTCATGCTCTGTGTGCACCTGTACAAGACCACTGCGCACACAACTTATTTTTGAAAGAGAAATGGAAACTAATATACATTTATATTGCAGGGGAAGGAAGCAGGAGAGGAAGAGCAGGCAATACAACACATAACTGGATATATCTGTTTCCAAAAAAAAGAGACAAAAGCCTTGACACGACTAATATTCAGGAAACTAGTCTGACATTTATGGCATATTTCTGTCCTTTCACGCTCGATCAGCTTTTCTTAATTTCCTTGTGAACAGCATTATGATAAGCAACAGTTAAACAAATCATATTGTTTTATTCAATTTATGAACATTTCCTAAACGTTAAAAAACAGACCAACCAACTAAACACTGTGATAACTTGTGCAACAGACTTCACATATTCAAAATATTTTTCACTGGGATAAGTTCTTTAAACCTTGTTTATCCACTACACTGAAGGCACATCATGACTCTTTCTGCACACCAAGCATATGTGCACGCAACTCTTCTGAAAAAAGAGCATTAACGATATAACCTCCATTCTCTCCAAAGGACCACTGCTGGTGTTAAATTCTCTTAGTCCTTGGAATTTCTCACAATCCTCCACAATTCTTCACTAGCAGTTTTTCCTTTTACCATCTATTACTCCTAATTCCAGCATTTATTTCAAAATTAAATTCAGATGGACTTTTTTTCCACTCACTGCAAAACAACCATTTTTTTCGCTGAAAAACTCTCAGATGATGCTCCCATTTTCACTTAAATTCCTTCTTTAAGTTTTTATGCAACATTGGTGTTACTGCTCTTTTCAAGTAGCAGGTTACATGTCCATGGCTCACAATGGCTTCTGTTGACTGCATCATGTATTTTCAGGATGCTGGCAACAATCCCTCCCAAGAAACTGTTTTTTTATTCTTTATTCTTTCTTTATTAAGTAAAATGTGTCTAGGAGCCAGAAACTAAATACTTTCATATAGGATATGACATTGCTTTAAAAAAATTACACATTAAATACACACACAATCTAAAGGTATTTTGCAGCATATTTCCAGCATGACTTCCCAGTCAGAGATCTCCATTTCTTTTTCTACATTCCAGAATAACCAACACATCCATTCTGTTCAGTCAGTTTATGGTTTGGAGTTATAAGTAACAGAACAAGTGAATAACACCTCTCTCAAGAGGCTATATTCAGTAATGTCAGCATCAAATAATTTGATTTATTCCAACAAGTGTCAGTGACACCAATTTTTTTTTCCCCCAAAAGAGGAAAATAAAGCTAACTCTCCTTTTGTGCTGTTTTGACACCAAGCACAGATTTTAAGTGCATAATGACAACCTCAAGAAAAAAAAAAAAAAAAAAGCCTTCATCGATGGGGTAGAAGGGACAGACTGTGTGTGGAGCAAGCAAGGGCATGTGCTAGAGCAAGCAAGGACAAGAATGAACATGCATCCAACAAATTTCTGAAGCTTTACCTGTTGTATTGCAAGACACAGGTTCATTACAAATTTCTTCTGATTAAAAGTCTCACAAATACTAAGTTTCCACACAAGCATGTTCTTATATCCTCAATGCTAAGAGCCCATTGTCAGGGAACAAGCAGGCCTATGCAACCTGCATGAGCTGCTGGTTGCTGGAAAGAATTTCATGTAGTTAAATGTTAAAAGCAAAAGCCTCACAACTAGAAATTTCTAATTCTTAAGTACCGTTATTCAGATTCACTCTTTGTATAAAAAAGACAATCACAGAATTACAAAATAGTTGATGTTAGAAGGGACTGCTAGAGACCATCTAGTCCAACCCCCTGCTGAAGAATGTTTTCTTTTTGTAATAGCAAGTCTTACCTGTTGGGTTTTTCTAAACTCTTCAAGTAGTTTTAAGGCCATATCATAGTCTTTCAACAAGTGATATGCAATTGCATATCCAATCCAGGAAGCCCGTTGTGTGGGACGCAGCTGGAGTAGCTGGTATCTTGTCTCCTTGAGTAAAAAGAAAGCAATTTAAGTTAATATGGACATTAAAGGGTCATTAAATAAATTTGATGATTTAGCGCTACTACTGCTAATATTTCAAAAGGGTCTTTCAAAAGTTCAAAGTTAAGCAGTTTTGTTGAATTCTACCAATATAGTGAAAAGCAGCATGTTCTTGCTGTGTAAACCTGTAGATTAGATCAGAAACGCAGGAGTTACAGCATGAAGTATTAAAACAAAGAAACCTGTTGGAAGATTTTTTGAAAATACATTTTTGAAGATACCTATTAAGGGCCTAAATTCTTTTAAAAATAGAAGATGGAACTTACTACAACGGAAAAAACAGTTTTGGTCTCCTCGCCCCCAAGCACGAGTTTCTCCTCCTAACACTGCTCTGACCCTCCTCAGACTCCCCCTTCCTGATCCAGTCCAACTCCATAAGCCAGAGGGTTGCCCTTCTGTCAGGGAATTTACTGCACAATGAAGGCCAACTAATGCCACAGCCCAAAGTCCAGATCACTGCCTCACATCAAACTTAAACATCATCCTTGCCTTTGACAGCCAGATCACTTTAGTCACCTTTTAAACTACTGACTCTGTTGGGTGCATTTTAAGACTTTACCATGAAAATGTCTGCTGGGATTCACAAACTTCAGCATCACAAGGCAAGCTTCCCTATACACTCAGTAAAACAATCTGGTTTTTATTTATTATTATTTTTTAACATTCCTGGTGTCAATCCCACAGGAAACCATGATTTAACACAGCTTCAAGATCGGAGACAGGGAGGAGAAGGTCCACAGTATTTGATAATGCCCTTCAAGATAGATTCAAGGCATTTTTAGCAGCAGAATGTCGCGTCTTTCAAGATTCTACAAGAGAAATTTATCTAAAAACACTTCAAATTCATGAATTTAGTACTTTGTTTTTCTCGACACAGCCTTTCACAGGAATAGACCTTTGGAAAAAAAAATGTTAAATATCGCTATGGGGTAGGAATTTCAATAAGCACAAATGAATAAAAACTAAAAATCAGTAGGATTAGGGAAATAAAATTACTGACAAAACTATACCGCTGTTTTGTTTCATAGCTCATTGTTATTACACAAGTTCAGATGCATAGGTAACATTCTGTACCAATACCTCCAGTATGTATCACCAAAACATTGCTTGCAGTACTTCACAACAATACAGTAAGTATATACTTAAAAAAAAAGAAAGTCTTTTAATTAAGTCTTTTTGTTTTAATTCAAGAAAGTTGAAAAGTAAACAGTAGGAACCTGAGTCAAGATGAAGTAAAATAGAGTGGGTTCCAAATACTTGTTAAGAGTCTACAGAATTTAAATCCATAGACTGTTGAGACAGTTGAGAACTAGAGATTTAAAAGGTAATCCACAAATATAATTGTACAGAGTAACTGTACTTCTGGGGTCTACTCTCAGTTTTATATAAAGCTCTACTGCCATTTATCTTCATGCTTTCTTCAACAAGAGCTCAAAACACTTTCTACCTTGAAATAGTAAACAAAACTAGAAACAATTACTACTGGTAACAAAGTTAATAATCAAGTAACAGAATAATATTAACAGTAATAGAATAGGAATGTAAATAGAATACTTACTCTATATCCTTCTAAATCCCTCATTTGAATCTGCAGGAGAGAGAGATCTCTCAAAATCTGGAGATTATCCTTATCCAGTTTGAGTGCATTCCGATAGCATTTGATAGCTTCATCATATTTCTTGTCAGAACGCTGCAACAGGCCATACACATGCCAACCTAACGCACGTTAAGGAAGATGCACAATTCTCAAAGTAACTGTAGTTTGTGCTACAGACCAAACTATTTGATATTTTCCTTGAAGCTCGGTACTGTTGTAAATTTAGTTTTATTACTGCAAATTACTGACTTAACTGATAACATTTATAAAACAGATTTTCAAATTAGCAATAAAATTATGCAATAAAAATTACTTTCAGTATCTTGTAGAGTGATATTCATTAACCTCCTTCAAAATATTCAATAGCAGGAACAACTGTGATTCAAGAAAAATTATTCCTAAAGATATATTGTTTTAACATACTACTGTAATTACACCACCTTGATTCCAAAAGTGTCTCACTCTACTAAAACAATTACTGGAGAAGTTTTATTCTTCACTACTTGCCTATCTGCAACTTCACTAAGCCTCCATATCTCACAGTAAGGAATAAACAGAGGCATATTTGATTGAAAGAGGAAATTTTAGCATGTCTGTCTCTTCTTGGTTGTCAGATTCACAGCATCCTAGATTTCCAGCTCTACTATGTCATTTCAACAGACTTTTTTCATACAACCTTGTTTACCCTGGAAAGGCTTTGAATTCAAAGCATAAAACCAAGAGATGTCATAGCAACACATTACACAGAGTGTGCATGCGTCAGCTTGAGAGCCGTATTAAAAGAAAAATTACTTGGCGAGATCTGTCACCTGCTACTGATAAAAAGATGGCTTATATAAATTTTTGGCCATTAGCTCTATGAGCTACCAGGAGTTCCCATTCTACCGACTTGAAACAAACCCAGACCCAGCCCTTCCCTCCATTTGAAATTTTTCATTCTAAAGTAAGCCAAGAAAGCACATAAAATATTTCAATGGGTTAGCCTGGTCAGACTAACCTAGGAAGCAGAACTACAATTTAAATAAATAAATTCCTTCTCTCCGAGAAGGACGTAATATCTAAAGTTCTAGATATTAAGAGATAAAACAGACCTGTAATTATGAACTGAAGGAAACTTCCAAACCACAAGGAAGTGACTCTGCTTTATGTTTCTACAAGAAAAAGTCATTCCATCTGGCTGCATCACCAAAAAAAAAAAAAAATAAAAAAATAAATAAAAAAATCACAAAACACATCTTTGTGACTATCTTCCATTGTTGCCATTATGATTTAAAACTAAAGATGAGAAGGAGAAAAAATGATGTTTGGTATAACTGTAAAAGTTAAGTTAATATCCTTACTTTTCTCTATAAATCCTGTCTTATGTATTTGAGTTCAAGCATTCAGGACACAGGTAGTAATTTAACAGAACAGGTTCATGAAATGGCAACAGAACCTTGAGTAGGAAGATTCAGTCCAGAAGAATTTGCGTGTACTTAACACTAAAGACATGTCTTGAGGAACACACTAGGAACCACTGCAAGAAATCATACATTTAGAAATAAGTGTGTACCACTACTAAGTATAAGAAATTACAACAGCTGATAGTGGTCAATAAAGATGCCAGAATTGTCTCCTACAATAAATTGCTGTAATTTTCCATGTGTGCTTAAAATATCCTGAAAATACAACACATCATCTTCTATAACATTTACTCCCAAAATAAGCCAGGAGCTCTAACCCAACCAAGATTCAAGTTATGCCCAGGATGGCCCAAAATTAATTCATAATTTGATCAGAAAGCTTTTGTAGTCCTGAAGAGTTTTAGGCAGCTAGTATCCCCCAGCCCTCAATGTAAGTAAGGGGAATTGCTTAATGCTGCAGAATAATTGAAACTTTCTTCTATTCTTCCACATATCAGAACACTGATTAGTTGTATTTCATCACCATCTGCAAAGTGCCTTTCTAAAAAGAAATACCATAACTGATATAAGAAAGTACAGGCACATATGCTAGTAGACAGAAATAAGAATATGCAGATGCATTGAATAGATGCATCCAGCATTTGCCTTTAATCCAAAGGGCAAGGACTAAGGTCATATAAATCAGAGGCTATTTAAGCTTTAGAGAACTTTCTGAGCTCTACCCGGGTTATACCAGGAATAAGCAGGGCTTCAAGCTTTCATTAGAACCTCACGGCTGATCAGAGGCATTCCCAAATGATGTAGGAAGAACCTTTATTAAAAAAAAAAAAAAAAAAAGCAGCCTCAGATCTCCATTTCTCATGGACTTCTCATGGAAGTACATTGCCTTCTGGCCTTAATTCTTCCTACATACTTCGGCCCACCACCAGGAGAGATTCACAGAGCAACACTAATGTCACAGTAGCTGTTTTTAAAGTGCGATAATAAAATTGGTTTGCTATTTCTTGAAATACCACAAATCAGAAAAGCAGTTCTGCATGGATCCATAACTCACAGCTTATGAGGGGACTCTGTAGAACTAGACTGGTACAGTGGAAGACAGAAAGCTGAACCTTCTTGCATGCACACAAGAGCTATACAGTCTATTACCATGGATGGAGCCCCAGAAAAAGAATGTTTGTGGCTAAGAGGATTCAGATGAGCTTACACTTTCTTTGAAGCCAGAAGACAGAAAGCCCTTGTAGCCCTTTAATGAGTAAAACAATAATTCAAATCCACTAGACTCAAAGTTCCCTGATTTTAGGTTAAAAAAAGAAAATAAGAGTCTCCTTGTCTCCCCACCTCAAATCAGACTTGAAACAGCACAGATTCTTCCAGCAAGGTCTCCAGCATTTGCAAGTCTTCTCAACAATTTCAAGAGTTAGGGACAAGAGGTAGGGATGCTGAGAGATGCTAGTCTGTTTCACTTAGGAAACCAGAATCCTCAAGCACTCCTCCCACATATCCTGAATTTTTTTTACTCCCCTAATTTAAGGTGCCAGAGTCCTTACACACAGATAAAAATAGCTTTGGTATTCCTTAGATGTTCAGCTTTCAAGATCTAACATATTAAATTCCTATAGATCAAAAAGTACAAGTTATATTTGTTATATGGCAGATCTCCAGTAACCCTAATGTCCTCCATGTGCCTGGAGATTTTTCAACCTCAATCTCCCTGGAGGTTTAATATAGGAAGAGTATAAACAGCAAACTTTTTTCCAATCACCATCCGGTTAAGCCAAACATTTCTTTCAACTGTGATATATTTAAAAGATTTTTGGATGGTAAAAACTTCAAGATTTTGGGGGGAAGTCTGACCCCAAATAGACTTTGCATACACCCAAAGTGCATATAAGACAAATTAGCCATTTTGTTTAAGTTGAAAATAGCCTCCTAGATATTGCCTAACAACCAAACTACTCTCAAAGCTCTTGTGGAGCTGATATAGTATTTCATGGGTACACATTTCTGCAAGACAGGCTCCTAGAAATGTGTCAAGCCAGTACATCTAAAGCAGTCCAAATGTCCTATGGAAGTACTTTATTTGCTAGTTCTCAGTGATAGTGAATTCTTTATACCATGTTAAGAAATCTACACTTTTAGAAGAGGCCAGATATTACAAGAAATATTTTCTGCAAAAAAGCAAGTGCGAGAGAGTTTTTTTGTGATACGAGACACACATTTTTCTTTGATTGAAGGAAGGAAATTGAAGGAAGACAAAACCTTATTATAAATTAATATTCACTATACATCTTTTGTACACAAGCCACATTATGTACTGTGTAGCAAGAGAATCTTATATACAAAAGTAAGAACATATAGGAAAAAAACTCAGGCTATGTTTTACAAAGGATACAGACATGACTCTTCACATCATTACGAAGTCCTTTACGAACAAATTCATATGCTTCTTCCTTCTTCCCCAAACAGTTCAAGGTCAATCCTTTCATAGCCAGGGTCTCTGTAAGAAATATCATATGCTTATGTTTGACTTCCCATATGTCAGTTCCACAGTGCAGATATCCTTTGAAGTTGTTACACAGTTCCCCAATACATGATAAATTTAGATCAGGGTAGTCGCTTAGCACAGCTGAAGATTGTTACACAGTATTTTCCTTTTTTAAAGATCAGTCTTAAAAGACCATGGCAGAGCATAAGACAAGTGCGACAGACAACACAAACACTATCAATAAGGAAATACAACAGTTAGCTCTCTTAAAGCAGTTAAGAATAATCCAAAGATTTTAGAGAGCTTTTCACTGTACATTGGAGCTCAAGGTAGGCAAAATACGAATAATTTCATTAGGTTTTATAATGCCATGAGAAATAAAGATCTGTCCTAATCACCTTCTCCATGAAAAGGTTACTTATAAATCTTTAGTTAAGAGTAATATATTACTTCGTACAGTATTTTGAGGCACAAGACCTTTTCAAAGCATGTGTTTGACAAAAGTTGCCAGTTTTCAAAGAGGCAAACGATTGCCAGTGACATGCTGGTATGACTATTGCTCCTCCACACCAATTTTCATGGAACATTGTGGAAAACAAGTTATGCATATGCCCAAAAGCTATTCCAGATCCATGCTTTTTTTCCTGCTAAGTAAGAGATGACTTACTGTTGGCCTCTGCTAAAGAGAGCACATTAATCACATTTTCATCCTAGTACTTTGGTTTTCCTGCAACTACAAGCTTTTCCTGCATACTCGTGGAAAGGGCATATTCTATCAAGGTCAGTCATAAACTAGAAAATCAGCTTGAAGTTTAATGGACAGATGACCGTAAGAATACAGAAAGACAGAATGTTACCTCACCAGCAATATCAGAAAGTTTGAAAAACAATATCCATACTGAACAAAGGGTTCAGTCTCCTCCTACCTTCATAAACAAAGGCAGGCAAGTGTCCAACTGCAGCAACGTTTGTCACCTTCTCACTAGAAGTTTCTAACTTCTTAGTGTGACAACAGTGCAGCTTCCCATCAGATCATTTCACTGGCTTAGTTCTGCTTCAGCTGTTCATTCCAGGCTTTGCTCCCAAGCTTCAAAGCCATTAGTGGCTCAGAGCCCAAGTAATATGTGGACTGCCAAGGGAGCTATTTGCCTGCTGTTGCTGCCTCAAACTTTTCCAGGACAAGACCATAGAAATGTATAGCAAGAAGCTGTAAAATGCTAGAGAAAATTGCATTAGGTCAAAGAAATATGGAGGCATCCCTACAGTGTTGAAGCAGCTTAGATATTGTATTTTTGTCTCTAGGAAAGTAATGAGAACAACCAAGAAACAGCACTGATGGAAGAATCAGACAAGAAGGATTAGTCACCAACTTTTTCCGATCCGACCATAAAATCTTGGCAAAATGATTTTAGTGACAGAATACATGCACACAGAGTTGCTGAATGTTTCAATAGCAGATAAACAAGAAAAAACCGACACACACAGTTTCAGAAAGAAAGACTCCCTGAAACAAGCGATGGAAGCCATGTAACACACCAGAGCTACAGTATCTTATGGAGGAACAAGTTGACAGAGAAAAAAAAGCCACATTTTCCTATCTGATTTCCTGCAACACTTATCAGAAACAGATTTTCACATCACCTTTAAGTCCAGGTTTCAGCATCAAAATTATTACACTTAGCTACGTTCCTTATATGTAGCAACTTGATTTGCAGTAGAGAAATTTAATTCAAAGTACTCAGTTGTCAAGGAAAGCAAGATTCTTAATTCCCTGGCAAAACACCTTTAAAAACAAAAGGAAAAAAAAGCACCTCCCCCCACCCCACACACACTCACAGAATACACCCATACACCAGCATTCTGATCTGGAAACCTAGAAAGGCAGCTTACTTTGAGGCTTAACTGAAGCGTGCCTCCACCATATATTTTCATCTTCGCCATCCCATCACACACAAGTGCTTCAGGATGAGCTAACAGACACTTAGTCTGAACACATCAAGACTGAAAAAATCAGAGTATTATTCAATCTTAAAGATAGAATCATACTCGGTGATAGGATTATTTCTTCCCCTGCACTATGGAATAGACTGACTGTATATTTAGACTCATGAGAGGGAGAAGAGGGAAGGAAAAAAACAAAAAAAGAAAATACTTGAGGCCTGCAGTTACCTCCATGTTCAGCAAACTTCGGGTTAGAGAGGATCATCTTGCAGAACTTGAGTCCATTTTTGTATTGTTTTTGTTCATAGCATTTCTGTGGGGGAGGAAAAAAAGATGGATTACAATTTAAAAGAAATGCTTATAGAAAACAGTGTCTTAGAACAGTAGCACACAGGCGGCAGTTCTTTCAGTACGGTAGCAGCAATTAGATCACTAATGAGTGCCAGTTGAATGGCTATTTATATTACAGTGTCCCTCTTCAGCATTCACAACATTATCTGCCTTCATTTACCTGCAGCTAATGTTCTCCCTCATGATCTCTGCTGAAATTTAACTCTTGTTACCTATCAATTCCTTTACAGTAATTCCTTTACAATAGAAAGAGGAAGAATATGTAAGCCTTTACTTTGATATGGAAATCAAAGAGAACTCTCGATAAAACTCAGAGGCTTTAAGAAACCAGACATTCCCCTCAACATCCCATTTCACTAGCCTATGTTTCTTCAAAGAAACCTCAGATGCTTCAATATCTCTGCAATGATAACACCATGATACTGCTACCAGGGTGCCAGCAGCACAGATAGCTAGCTATCCAAAAGGAAGCCTACGTAGGTAAGGTATCAAAACAAAAATCCCTTTTCCAGAGTGCATGATAAGGAGTTAACTAGAGAAGAGTTTAAACTGCCTAAAATTCACAGCACTTTCAGATAACCAAGATTAATTAGAGACTGTACTGCTATACAATTTGGGTTGGCAGGAACCTTTGGATATTCACCCTCGAAACAAAGAGCTAACCTTGACATTAGATCAGGTTGCTCAGTACCTTGTCCAACTGAGTTTTGGCAGCATGAACAGAGATTCCCAGAGACAAATACAGTTATGCTGTGGCAATTAACATCTAGCCAACAGCACACAAAAAAAAAATAAAAATAAAAAAGTAAATTGAAAACTAACTTCCCACCTCCTTCTGACTTGAGACCTCTCTAGAGCAGGGGCAAAGAGGGGAAAATGGCCCCTTAAGACAACTACTACCTGCTTAAATAAAAAGTAGTCTTAAGACACTAAACCCTTTTGGCATGTTTACACTTATCCAGCTAAGTATTAAAGAAGTAACAAAGCGTGACCATCCCTCCATGTTTCCAGGATTCTTGCAATGTGAGTGAAACCATGTAAGAGAAGTTGTCTGGCTCAAGAGTCACTTCAGACTGATTAACTACTTGAGGAAGTTAGGGGCATTATCCTTATTCTGACTTTTTTCCCCCACCTCTCTAAAAGGTGTTCCCTCTTAGCACAGGGCAAAAACTGAGTGCCTAGAAAATTATTTTATGCAGGTATAATTTGAGCAAAATACACAATATTAGAATTTGAAAGAGGGTTAATCTTTGGTACTGGTATACTTGATCTCATGTCCCAATTGATGCCTTGATTACAAGCCCAAATATCAGTAAATGAGCAGCAAATCCATCTCAGAATATAACATCTCTTGCCCAGCTTGTGGCTACCAGACACAAGAGGAATTCATGCCATCACCAAAAAAAGTTTAGAGAAACACAGGATTTTTAGCAGTTTCATTTTATTCACCTGATTATGATATAGCCTTGTTGATCAGTCAGTCAAAAGATAATTTCTCAGCCCACATCTACATCAGAAATAACTGCTGATGTTAGCTGGGAGCCTTCCCTGCCGCTCTCAGCTCTGCTAAGCAATGTATACTTCCCATGGTCACCATCAATACATACAGATATATTGAAAGGCTTTGCAGATTTAGCTGCATCGAGAAGCCTTGGGTTTTAACGTGCCCAAACTTAGCAAAAGGAGTGCTTTTAAATTTGTACGTCAGACCGCATATGAGTGCACCATGCTCTACCCGTAACTTATTCAATGCCACACAACTGTTTCATATTGTAGTAAGGAAGAGAATTTCCAAGTTGACAAAGTTGGTGGCTCCATTATGTACTCTAAAGTTGTGAGCTAATCAGGACAAATATAGCTTACATGCATTCATTTATATCAGTCCCATTGAATCAAGCTTTGATGCATTAAAAATTCAAAATAACAGGCTGGGTTTTTCTTGTTTTGTTCTCTCTCTCTCTCCGAGACAGATTTCTCCTTTGTGCTTAATATGAGCCCTTTTATGGCAATAATTTCCTGCCAAATATTTGTGCTTTGGCTTTAATTCTTACACACTGAAACCTCAAAGGAAGCTTTTGGCAAGGCAAAAACACCATCTAACACTTATGCTACCAGATGTTTCAGGAAGGATGTTACTTCCTTTATCAAATGTCTCATCTTGGTTTATTCCCTTTCTCCAACATTAAGCTAAAGATAAAAATCTACTTGCGAGTGTTGCCTACAGTAATATATAGAGAATGATGGCTAGTTTAGCTGTTTAACACACTAGACGTCAAGTAGTACAACCTCTAGGAAATAAACAAAGTTTTAAAAAAACTATTAAGAAGGATACAACTTCTTTAGAGAAGGAGGCGTAATTTAAAATCAGTTTGCACTGCTTTTTCTTCTTCAGGTTTTATAAAATGTAATTGAAATTAGTAATCTGTCATATGCCACCTTCTTTTTAAGAGGAGAAAAATACATCATCTAGATTGAATATTAATAGAAATAGCTTGGAATGGCTCCTTAAGATTACTTAAAGAAAATGATTTGTGTACCACTGCTCAATTCTGTACACTACTAATTCTGTACACAAATTATGCTTAGCTACTTGCAAAACTATGATAGCACCTATGTTTACAGACTCTACACCTCACTAGAGGAAACATTTGCCATGTCAAGACAAAACTAGTGTTTTATTGAGAGAACAGTTATCCTTTCAACATGTTGAAGTTTAATATATAGATCAGCAGTTTGAGAGCTGAAGAACATCTCATTATCCTCCTCGCACATTAACACCTACTTGAGGCAATTTTCAGAAGGCATCTAAAGCAGTAACCTCGACAGGCTACTCAGAGCTGCAGTTGTCATAACCGCTTTCTCTTCTGCACTCTCCATCCCTCAGGCTTCTGAATGAGCTGAAGTGGCATTATTCCAGCAACAACTCACGCCTCCACAAGAAAGCCAAATAATGTGTAATACTACATTCAAAAAAATAAGAATATATATTCTTTTTTGGGGGGGGAGGCATTGTTTGTTTTGTTTTTCTCCCAGTCAGATCAAATAGCAGCATTAAGCTCATTAGCTGAAATAAAGTGGAAGCCAATTTACCTCCAGCTGCTCTCACTTCAATTGTGAAAATGTAGATGCCACATTAGTCCCCCTGCCCCAAATCTGGGGACTGGGCCATGCAGAACAGTGATTAAGCCCCAGGCTACATATGGTGGTGCAAAATAGATCAAGTGGCCAGGATCAGATATAGTGGTAATATTTTAGTCATCACAGCACTAATGTCACTGTAACATCTAACCTTCTACTATCACAACAACCTTCCTTCCCTTAATGAGCAAAGGGAAGAAAAAAAAAAGATTAAAGTTCAAACCTAGATTACATAAAATACATTTAATTTCCATCTGTATTCTTTATAATAACCATGATATTCTGTACAATATTCCAATTATATTCCATTTTGGCAGAACTGTTGGTTAATAGGTTTTATTATCAAGTTGAACTCAAATGCTAAACAAATGTTTCATAATCTTTTGGTGGGATATTTTTCAGCAGCTCTATGAACTATACCCTTTTCTGTGTGGAAGAAAGGAAGAGGGAAAGAAACTGCTTATTAAAGTACTTGCTTTAAATTAAGATCTACTCTGTGTTGCACACACATTCAGTAAACCTTGAATCCCTAGGACATCCTTTGCTCAAAGCAAAGAAGCAGAAATAACACAGACCATTTAGCAAAAAAAGCTCTTTTTTAGAGGTATTTAGCACCTCACACTGAGTTAATAGAGCATCTCTCTACGGTTCATGAACATATGTGAAACAACATTAGAAATTTGACAAGTCAGTCTTGTCACACATTTTATACCCAACTGCAGATTAAAATACAGTCTAAGTACCAAAGAGAACAGTCCGAGTCTGCATCTCTTAAATGAAAATCTGACTATCAAGAACTCAGATCGAGCAAGTACTCTAAAAGCTGCTGAAACTGCAAGTAGTTAGAGTAAATCATGCTATCAATGCGAGTAGTGTTTTTGGGACCCAATACATACACCGATATAAAACTCAGTTTTTAAAGGTTCATCTTTTAATCAGACATTTTAAAACAAGGTCAAAGCAATTAATGATGCAGATGTAAAAAAATAACCTCATCACAACACTGCACATAAAACTTAATACAGTGGTTCAGACAAAGTAATAGAACTGTACGAATCATAAAAGATCAGGCGAGAAGCCCACCTGGCACATGCTACTATTAGAGGCAAAGTAGAGTGGCAGACACAAAGGGAGAGGGTTATTCTCAAAACGAGCATTATCACAATTCCTTCCAGAATGCCCTCAGCACCCAGCTATTTGCAGTTCACTAATCCCCTGAACCAGGGGTTGCATCTTTGCACACAGAAGAATTGAAAAGATTTATTTCCATGATCCCACTCAGTGCCTGAAACTTTAGCAGTTACTACCTACATCTTGCAGCAAGGGGTTCTACAGTTTAAATATCTTTTTTGTTAAAAACTACTCCTCCAGTTTGGAGCCCACTACTTTACAACTACCACATGAGTTGTGAGTCTTCTACTATGGTTCTCCACATTCTGAAATATCATTTCCTACTTTTCTCCCTTTTCCAAGGAGGCTGGAGGTAGGAGGAGCACAAAAAGAAGTACCACAAATACAGGCTTACAATGGACTTAGAATTCTAGGAATTACTCCTTCTTCTCTGGTAGGAAAGTGCTAGTGTGTGATTGTCACTGCTTTTAACTACTGCTTTCTAAAACTGTTTCAACAGAACTTCAAAAAAATCCCTAAAAATCTCAACCCTTACAAACAATTCAGCTCAGAGCTCTGCTGTGGTAAATTAGGATTCCCAAATGTAACACATTCACCTAATAAATTGAATATCATTGAATAACATTCAATTGAATAACACTGACTTTATTCCAGAATCATGAAGCAAGTACAACAGTAAAGATGAAATGT